ATAAATAAAATAAGACAAATACTAAATACTATATTTGTATAATAGCTATTACTTGTCATGACTGACTCTACAAAATATAAATGTTTTGCCAATGTAATACAAGTGATTAAATGTTCAAATAGTTCATACCTCTTATTAAATCAACATCTATCAAGTCAGGCTGTATGTGGCCTTTCTTTCTGGGTTTGCTTTTGAAGCCCTGCACATTTAGTAATAAACAATTAGAACAAATAATAGGTTATGTCCTTGATCACATAGCATATAGATTAGATTACAATTATTCTTTCATAGTAATGTTCACATGGGAAACAGAGAATAACCTTCTCTAATTCCCAGCCAGTCTAATTCTAATTGGCTGAGAATTCTGGGAAGTGTAGTCCAATGCCATATAAAAGGCAACCACATAGTGCAAGGCTATATCAGAGAATATCTGCCATGTTTTCATATAAAGATATATAAGCAAAGTATGTTTTTAAAGATATACACAAATGAAAAATACCTAAATATAATTTCCACATTATGATATAAGACCTGTATGCTATTGCTTGTTTCCTCTACTCCTACAATTTGTCAATCCCATTTTAATTTATAAATGTACTACCACATGCCCTTACCATGTCTGAAAAATTAATACACTGTATGAAATCAAGTGCTGGTCATTTCTCTGACAGAAGACATCCATCATGAGCAGGAAGATAATAATACTTTCTCCCCTCTGTAGCCCCAACCAAATACAAATGTAACTGTTTCTTAATCACAGCAGCAGGGCATGCAATTGTTTCAAGAAATTTCAAAAATAAAAAATACTCATATCCTATTCCACTGGTGGACATTTTCTATTAGCAGAATTGCCACCATTGGATACAGACTCTAATGCTGACAATCTATTATTGCCAGCTTCTCATAACATTTGCATGAAGAAAACTAAAACAAGTTTTAATCTGTGTCATTAATGTAAACTTAAATATTAATAAAAGCTAAAATTCTCATGTTCTTCAGGGAGCATGCTACAATATCTGCTTTTTAGAATCACAGCCAAATAATCTTTATCACATTCAGTTCTCTATTGGACTTTACCTTGCTCCCAGTCGGTTACATTTACACTGCCAAATCTTCACTGCGGTACAGTGTCTTTCTGATTTCTCATAATGCTTCTGTTTCAGCTCAGAGCATGACTGACTTGTGCATCCAAATTTTCATCAAGCACAGTATTTCCACTTATGGCAATGAGGAAGTACTGCAGAGCTGTCTTCAACAATTGCATGGTAGAAAGTCAATGAATACCTCACAACTCTCTACACTGCAAATTCCCTTTAATTAGATGTGGGCAATTGTGAGTAGAAAATACCATATACATTGAACCCCTTACAAGTATATTTATTTTACGTGCCATTCTATTTCTCACATACAACATATTTCAGCTGTGTCATTCCACAGATCCACAAAACAAAGAATTAAGAAGTTCAACAAAATTGTCCGCAAAACTTTACCTTCATCTCAGTCTGTTCTATGGATTTTTCCCATATCTGTTGATCATAAGCTCCAATCTGAAAAAAGAGCAGCTATTCCTCATATATTACTTTTACCTTTAACACCAATGTATTAATAAAACAGTAACATTTGAATATTTCCTGAGTTATTTCCTAGAATTCCTCTATATAATACTACAGACATAGAAAGGAATATTTTGGAGAGGTGATATAGGTTGTTATTACAAATGGAAGAAGAAAGCAATCATCGTTATTCTAAATGATGTTATGTGTTAAGATTCAATAATTAAACTTCATTATTCATTATGAAATAAAATAAATACACAACTATATTTTGGGTTTATTTTATAACTCATTCTTCAATATCTCTAAGTAGAATTTGTACAACTGCTTTACTGAATGTAAAAACAAAGCACAGAAAATACGTATACTAATCTGATAGTAGGTGCAACTAAAATAAGAAATCCTAAATCATGTGTGAAACCAAGCAAAAGAATCACTCCAGATATCTTGACTATAGCTCCAATAATCCTGTTAAAGAGCTGAAGTCCCAAACATTTGAAAGTACCCTGTATTTAAACAATGTGCAAATTCTAAAAAAACCACCATTGTTTAAAGCTATGATATAATCTTAACTACAGAGCAAATATATTAAGCTCAAAAACAAGCCTAAACCTGACCTTCTTTTGGTACCAAGCAATGGCGTCTTCATCATTCGAAGCCATCTGGTATCTCAGACTTCAACTGCCAAATCAACTGTACGAATGTAAAGAGAACTTATTACAGAGACATCAAACAGAGATATCAAAAAATGTACCCATAGTCAGCTGACAACATTCCCAAATTCATTTATTACCTCTTCTATTCGGTAAGAGATGCATATCTTTTTTAAATATATCGTATCAAAATTAGTCATTCTGGGTATTTTTAATAGAAAAATGAAAAGAAGTAGGAAACGTTTTTACAAGCAAGACCTACCCTTTCATTTCTTTCTTTCTTGCCTCCAAAGCCTGAAGAGCAGGGTTTCCCAAATTGTGAGGTGCACCTCCCTTGGAGAGGTGCAGAGTGAGTACAGGGGAGGTTTGAAGAACCTTTACAGTAGTTACATTGTTACAATAAATCCACCTTTCCCAAAGTTTCATGTACTGTTTTCATTGTTTGTGTTCATTTCGGTGTATGGATTTTTATGGGAGGTGTGTACATTAAGATTACACTAAAGGGGGGCATGATGGCAAAAAGTTTAGGAATCCCTGCGGAGTATATGTAGCTGGTACCATAATGTCATCACAAGAGTGGACAGAACTAACTTTTCAGCCTTTTTATTGTGGATTTGGAGAGATTAAAGAGCAAAATGAGTGCCTTAGTCTCACAAAGGCTTAACACAATCATTTGATCCTCTATTTAATCCCAAATGAGAAAAATGCTCTGAGGGCTGTAAAAATAGGTCTGGATGTTTCCATGTGGCCCATGGCCCACACATTACTTTTCCCAATTGAAACAGACATGCTTCATGAAGTAATCAGCCCCCTTCCCCCCAATAGTAGTACATGGCTGCTTCCATAGCAGACTTTAGACTTCCCTCACTGGCTGGGGAGGAGAGCCCAGTTACCTGGTAAGTCAGTGCAACCCCCCCCCCACTTCCTCCTTCAGTTATCCTCAATCCCTACCACTCTTCCTTACCCACTAGCCTTGCCCAATGACTCAAGCCCTTTCAAACATTGCCATTCTGAACCCAGGGCCTTCTCGGCTTCATCCTTTCGGTCACTCATTTCATCTGGGTCCAATTCCCTCCAAGCCTCAACCTTTATCTACACCAGTTCCCTCCTGGTCCTAGCCTCAGCCGCAGACTCTTAAGTGATCCCTCTTCACTCCCCCAACAAACACCCCAAAAGAGCAACCCCAGGACACTACCTTTCAGAGCCTCTTCCTGTTACCATGGAAACAGAAGGAAGCAGCAGAAGAGAAGGCTCTCAACTGCTTTTGCCTGGATCATCATGTTGTGGCAGACAGCATTAGCCAAGTGCTGCATCCACTGATCCTTTACTGCCGTTCTGAAGGGATGTGGCAAATCCAGCAGCTGAGCAGCAAACTAAGATATAGGCAGCTGTAAAAAGGAGGCCCAAGCTGTAGGCTGCAGTGATGCATGCCTTGGGAATTAACGGGTTGTTGAGTGTCAGTATTATGAATTTAAAGGGCAGCAGTAATTCATAACATTGGAACAGAGGGACACAGCATCAGTAGCAAGTGGCAATTGACAAAGAGAACGGAAAATTAAAGTTAGCCTGAGAGTCCAGCGTTGTCTGAGCACCAAACCTAAGAAAGTTTAAAAAAAAAAAGCTTAAATGAGACACTTTTCTAATGCAACATGCATTTAGCCCCAAATCAAGTGCATGTTACTGAAAGATCAAGAAAGTAAAAAACACACACACACACATTTGCAAACTGTGTCAAAAAAGTAGGTCAAGCATGTTTGTCTACATAGAACGGTATTTATGTTACAGGTTTTTCTGAATCAGGCTGGGAAACAGATCCCGCTGACTCCAAAAAATTAACTACTGCAGTATCTATACCCAAGACCGTTATCTGTTGATGAGAGGCTTCCTTGGACCAACCATGACACAACTATAAAGTTTGGAATCAAGTAATGATTAAAGGCATCCAGGAACTATTAATTGTTCTCCTTAAAAAAAAAAACAAAAAAAAAAACCATGGGTAGTCCCTCTACTGTCAGACCTGGCTACTACATCATATCAGTTTCTTTGTTCCATGCAGAACTTAAGTACAAGAGCATAATGCAGAGTTCAGAAAAAGAAGCCTTGCCTTTTGCCTCTATTATAGGGATGGGGGAACCTTCAGTTCCTCCAGTATTGTTGAACTCCATTCCCAGCGAAAATAACCATGATTAGGGATACTGTGAGCAGTACTTTAACTTCTTCAAATCCAGAGTCCTCATTCCTGCTCTAATTCTGCTGTTTTCTTTTTTTAAAATCCATGCATCTAATTGCTTGAGTCATTTTATTTATTTATTTGGTCCCTCTCTCAGAGTAGAGAACTATGAATCTGAAATCAAAGTTGCTTGAACTTTGAAGAAAGCAGCAATGCAGGGGCCAGGACAGTGTTTTAAAGCAATCAGACTATTTTTTAAATATAAATCTTGGCCAACAACCTAGCAATTAAAAGGATACAAAAAGCCCCAAAAGCTTGTGGGGTTCAATTACTCAATTATTTGTGTTTATTTCAAGTCCCTTACCAGCTGAACTGTGTTGTTTCCTTGCTGTGAATGCTGCCAAAAAAAAAGGAAAAGTAAACACAGCTAAGTAAACTTGGACAAAAAAAAAAAAAGCAAACACTCCCTTCCACCAAGCAATCAACTTGTGAAACATAATTTTTATCTAAGATCTGGCTTTGTTTTATAGCCTCAAGTTTGCTTCTTTTTTTTCTTTTGAAGTACTTAAAGTGGAGCCAAAGTATCCCACCGTTCTGGACTTTAACCCTACCTGTTTTGAAGCTGGATATATATTGCCCTTATGAGTAGATAACAGTCCAATATATGGGATTCTTGAATTATTATATTAGACGAGGAAGCTGATGATTATATCTACTCAGAAGATTTGACTTGCCCATGATGTTGGTCTTTGCAAAAATTTTCTTTGAAAAAAATGAACCAAAAATCCTTCCCCACTATGTGGAAAATGGAAATTAGAAGGAACACTGTTTACACTGTGGCCATTTATTAATTTTTATGAATGTACTTTTGTCACTGGTATTCCTAATACATTAAAACTCTTTACCAACCTCATGTTATTGTTAAGAAAAGCATTCATTTGATGGTTTGTTTGTGTGATATCTGATTTTGCTATAATTTATTTTCATAATCTCACTTCCCTCCAATGAACTTTAAACATAATGGCTCTCTCAACAATTGAGTATTTTAACCTCACAACAATTCTAAGAGGTAAGGTAGGCTGAGAATGAATAAAATCTCTGTTATGACCAACCTAGGTCTCTACAGCCCAGCCTCATACACTTGTCTTGATTTACCTACTCTTTCATTAATTATGTTTTTTGCTGTGTCCTTTTTAGTTTTTATATTGTACTGATCTTTGAACATGTATTGTGGAAAAACTGGATTTTAATTTAAACATCTGAATTATTCAACAGACTTGAAGGTGGGACAACTCTGTTATCTCTATATCACAGCAGAGAAGATGGGAAGGAGGGTAACAATTTAAGGTAGGATTATATAGCTGCTAAAGATATGGATAACATTTTGTTAACTTCTGGAAAAAACCTTTTGTTCCTACTTTCCAATGCAAACAGACTAATTATAATCATAGCATTTTTTAAGCCGAGGAGGACGTGGAGGGTAACTGAGATGAAATTTGGAAAAATGCCAAGCATGTGTGGGCCATAAAATCCAGTTTTTAACCAGTGGAGCCCCCAAAAGCAAAAGCCAGGTCAAACAATAAATTACAAATTATTGCTATAATATTTTTATTAATATAACATCACTGGACAGGTCTTTTGCACTGAAAGTTTTACAATCTATAACATTAGCCTTTATGTCATATTTAAATGTGTTCAAAGGACTTCATAAATCAGTATCTTATCTTACGCCAATCAGGCTGGTAATCACCAAAATGCAGAGATGCTGGCACTCTAATAGGCTGATTAGCTTGCAGAATAATCATAGGAATTTCTGGTACAGATAAAAGTAAAATTTATTGCACTTTGTCTTAGAAAGTTTGCAGCCTGAACTGTATGCAAGTATACCTACAAACCCTTTCCTTCTAATCCTAGATGCTGAGAAACTGGCGTTAACAGAACATGTGCATGGGCCATAGAATATTTTAATATATAAATATTAACTTAAATGGTAAAAACATAGGTGTTCTTGTGATCTTTGTAAAGAGAAGAAAATGGGTAGCAAACCACTTCAATTTGGCTTGATATATAGTGGGATATAATTCCCATGGGTAGTAGCCATAGTGAATCCACATGTATGATAAGCAAGGGTAGAAGGGAACAGAGCAAATATATCATGTCCATCACTCTTCTAAATGCATCCAAGAAGGGCAATCATAAAATGGTGATAAATGTATTACATGAATTTAGTAACTTGGAAGACAGTCCCTAGCTGTAGGGCAAGAACAAGCACAAATGAACAAACAGCAAAAGTACACATCAAAGCACTCTCAGTGAAGATGCCAAAACCACATAGACAAGGAAATGGGTTCTGAGCACTGATTCCATTTGCCCTAGGGAAAGGAGACCTGCATTTTTGAGGAAGGTTATCAAGCTTGTTTTTTAATATTCTATCTCTTTCAACAATTTGAAGATGAGCATGTAAGTTTAAAGTACAAAATGAAGTAAATCAGGGTAAGCTTGCATGTTTGCACTATGACTTGCAGTTCCCAAGTTTGAGGGAAAGCTCAAAGCAAATCCAGAATGATCTTTCATGCATCCTTCTTCAAGGGAGTCTTGTGCACAGGAAACTAATTCACAATTTTCAATTCAGTGGCCCATTTAATGAAATCTCTTTCAACAGTAGTGGGTCCATACAGCTTGCTGCTTCACAGCATCAATATGCTCGCTTGCCACATCAAGCATTTCTTAGGGCCACTTCTGAAGTTCTGAGAGAGGCATATTGACCCCATAAACCAACTACCCCTCTTCCTTGTTCAGTTATTCACAATCCTAAGCCCCCTTCCTCACCCTTTAGCCTCCTCCAGTGGCTCAACGCCTTTAAACCCTCCCTTTCAACATTGCCATTCTAAGCTATTTCTGTCCCTTATTTCATCCATGCCCAACCCCCTCCACGCCTAAACCTTTACCTGCATCACCTCTTGCCACAGACCCCTCAACTGCCCTTCCACATTTAATCCACAAACGTTCCAAAAGCTCAGCCTTTGGGCGCTACCATTCATTCTCTTACTGTTCCCATGGAAACACAAGGAAGCGACTGGAAAAAGGGCTTGCGTCCGTATCTGCCTGGACCATCCTGATGTCAGGCAGCATCAATTAAGCGCCGTATCCACCGATCGTCCTTTCCGGCTCTTAATGGTTACGGGAAGTAGACAAAAGCAATCAAGAGCCGAATTTGACGTGTGAGAGGAAAGGAGGTCCGAGCTACCGCGTAGCGCGGCGCAGTCTTCCGGAGTCGCGAGGCGGATTGTGTTCAGCTTGTACCGAATAGAGAGGGCGGCGAGGAGTCACGCTGCAGTCAGTCAGTAACAATTCGGTGGAAGGCGCGGGGTTTTATTTAACGAATACCTGAAAAAAAATAACATTTTTAAATGTAACAGGAATTTGAATTTGGTTTAGAATTAAGGGTATGTTCTTAAAAAAGTAAAATGTAATGTGACGGGCTAAAATCTTTATGAATAAAAAGTAAATGAGGTTTTGGGAACTGTTTGTCGATAGAGGTATAGATGCAGGTAAATGATTTTGTGGGGTTAACCATGCAAAGGTTAAGCATGCAAACCATTCTCAGGTTAAAAGTAGTAAGTCCATACAAAGAAACGAGGGGGGTCCGGGCGTAGGAAACACTTCAAACACCAATTAAGCTAACAGTTTTGGGTATATGATCTACAACTACAAGGTTCCTATCTTTTTATGTAATATTTCCCAAAAATCGAATGTTTGAAATTGTGCAATTTTAGGCTGTATTTTCTGCATCAACAGAGGGTTTCTTCAATAAAGGTCTTCCAACTACTTACATTAGGGAAGGGAAAATATATCCGAGCAAGGAGGCATTGAGCACCTCCCTGAATCAGTCCTATTTATCAAGAGAGGCAAAGATCTATTAAACAAGTGGTAGCCCTTTGCTGTTCCAGATCCTGTTCACATCCTTAAAACCTAGAAGCTGGAAAAAGCAAAACCAAACACAGGAGCTGTAGTTGCTGAAGTTACATTCCAATGACCAGTCCCATTACTGGAGCTAAACTCAAGGCAGTTCTGATTAGCTTCATCCACAAATATGTATTTGACGTCTATCCTACGTTTGCTTCGGGAGCTCAAGGTGATAGGCATACCGCTTCTGCCTATTTTTTTCCACACCCAACAACTCTGATAGGCTGGATTGAGAATGAATTACTCACTGCAAGCAAACAACTATTATGTCCCCACTTCAAATGTCATTAGAGAATTACCATTCCAGCCTGTTCTGTGCAGTTGCAATGGAGGCAGAGAAGCAAACACTCTTCATTGCCTCTATTGGCATGAGAGAGGAACAGACGCACCTCACCCCTATTTGAAATGATCTATTTGAAGAGTTCCTCCACTTGTGCTCCAGATGACAATATCTGTGTCATTATTCCAAGCTCTCTAGGAAACCAAGGTGTTGATTTAGTTCTGCAAGAGGAAGAAAGCACTTAGGCATAGTTGATGGTGTCAACTGCCCTGGTTGCCTCCATGTTCTATAAATCAACCAGGACTTTCACTGACAGATGCCTGGGTGACATTTTAGCAATTTCTTTATCCATGCAGATTTCTGTCAGTCACCAAGGTAAAACTGACTCAGGGACTGAGTGACATACATCCCTTGTACCTTCAAATCCCCACCTCCATGCCAAGCAGCAAATCCATAATTTACCTTGCTGCATGTGTAGGGTATGGTATCAATTTGAATGAACGGTGTTCACAGTATTGTGGATGGGTAAATCTCAGTGTGAATGGTGGAAGAGACTAAGTAGTAGGGTATATAGTATTCCTACACTGTCCCAGCCATACAAATGCAGCTGTAGGCACTACAGACTTTCAGAGCTTCCTACAGATCATTACCACTAATCCTAGCCTGCTTCCCCACAGAACAGTGTGACAAGTAGAGATGGAAAGAAATTCTTCCCTCTTATTTCAGGTCTCATGATACACATAGCAGTCTCATCCTGGATTAAATCCTGGAGAGATGATTTACCAGCTGTTTACCTCACATTGAAGAGCAGACTGTTAGATTGGAGGGGCCACCTTCATTGTCCCTTGACTTCCACAATAAAATTGCAGTCAAAAAGGAATCTCAATCAGTGGCCTGCCATCCCTTCCCTGCAATGGCTGTATTACAGACTTTCATTATATTGTCCCCTGCTGGGTATTATCTCAACGCCTGCTCTGAGGCTATTTTCCATTTTCTGTTCTCCTCAGCGCATCTCTAAACACCAGCTACTGCCAGAAGATTCCTTCCTCATTATAACCTGCCCCCCTCAACAGTACTCACATGACATGTACAGAAAACAGAACAAAATGAAGTGCCTTCATGCCAAGATCTATTATAGAAGCCTATTTTGGAGTAACTCTTTTTACATCAGCTTATTACCCCAGAATAGCTTTTATTTTAAGCGTCAACCTCTTAATGTGCAGCTGGCCACTGAGGTTCTATTCTCTGGGACTCCCGGAGTCTCTTAGAAATAGTAACCACAGGTAAACTGGCACGCAGGAAGCAAAACAATATGTTGTTTTTTATTTTTGTCCAGTTACTTGGGCAGGTGGGTTGCTCTCTCAGGTGAAGAGAGGTCATCCAGTTTGAGCTTGTCAGCATATGATTTTCAGCCTTAGGGGTGCTAGGAAACAATTTAAGGAGAGGGAGAAGGTCCACCTATTGTTAAATAAATAATGAGGCAGTGTGGAAAAGAATGTGGCTTCATCAGACATTTTGCCAACTTGCCATGCTTCCAGATAGTACAAATCACACTTTATACTGGTGTTTCTCAACTTGGGCAACTTCCATGTACAGGGTATGTGGACTCCCAAGTCCCCGAATTCTCAGCAGTGATTATGCTGCTTGGGGAATTCTGGGAATTGAGGTTTGCATACCTGGGAGTTGGCAAGATTAAGAAACGCTGTTTTATACTTAACCAAGACGAAAAATCAAGGGAACAACACTTCTCACATAATCTGCTTCGTCTGTGCTTCACTCAGACGTTTGCAACTTGTGATACAGCAGTCCAGTTTAAAGCACTTTTGAAAGGCAACATATTTTGTTCAGGATTATTTTCTCTAGAAATTTTGAAAAATATCAAATCTATGGTAACATTGAACACAGAGGTTGGGTTAAATTTGGCCAACTTATGCAAGGAAGGGAGGGAGGGATATCTAAAAATATCTCCAGTCAAGACCCTCCCTTTGCTAATGCTAGCTAATAGGGAAAATAGGATACCCTGTTATGCTTAAATCCAGCTTCAGGATCTGCTAAAATATCCCTGGCCATACATATATAAAAAAGACTTTGGGCAAGAAAAAGTCAAGACAGTCTAGATCATACTAAAAAGGGTATGTTCAAATTCTAAAAATCTCTCCATTATTAAAATAAAAAGTTTTACTGAGACATCAGCCTACCTAAAGAAAGAGAAGAAACAGGCATAAGGGTTAAAAACAGCTTGTATGAGAAAGCTCAGCAGAATAGATCAGAAGTAGATGGCTTAAAGTACTGTATAATCTTGATAATGGATTATACTGTATGATTCCAAAGCATAATATTCTTGCTGCATACATGAAACTAATTATTTTTTGAAAGCCACATTGAGAGGTTTTGCCCGGAAGTAGTATTTACATTGTTTTACTTTATATTATTTATCTGAATATCTCACATCTCAACTTAATCCCACTTTTCTACTCAAAAGCTACTAGGTGTCCTTCCCAATTTATTCTACTGTATCCAATATTCTCTAGCACAGGGTTCTACCAAACAGTCATTTTCATTAAGCACAAATCAGACTTCTGTTTATTAAAAAAATACTTTACAGGGGGAAAAATCTATGCATTCCATTGTACTTTTTTTTAAACAAAGAAATAGCTTTAACAGTGATACGCTTGTACAGTCACCTACTAAAAGAAATGCACTGTGTTAGAGGATTATTCACAGAGAGGCTTAAAATTTTCCCATCAGTTTACACTATTATAAAAACTTCTTTAAAACACTTGCTAAAATGTCAATAAATATACTAAGGCCACACAAAGCAAAAAACAAAAAACAAAAACAGTCTTCCAGGCAATTGTACATATCCTTTATATGCAAAGACCTTAGATTATTAAAACCACAGAAAAATATCTTAGCTGCCAATCAAAACTGAATTTAATCACAAAACACTACACAAATCTATTTTATACAACATGTAAAGATAAGTATTTGCTTAGACAGAATTGAAAGTGCTAGATTAAGAGAAGCCCCTTATCAACTACATGTGCTGTTGGGTCCTAAAAATATCATGTATATCAATGGAAGGCCATAACATTATTGGAAATTTGTTTATTGGACCAGCATATAGTTTATCCACATTACAAAAATTTTAGGAGCTGAAGGATAAATATCCTTATTCATAGCAACCTTCAAACACAACCAATATGGCTATAAATAGCATTTATAAGGAAATAAGAGTGCTATCCCACCAATAGTAAACACATTTAAAGTTCCACTGATTTCAATGGAGAATTAAGCACCTGCTTATCTCCCATTCAAAATAAATGGGACTTAGAAGTGCTTAACTTTGGTTGGATTGTGCCACAAGTGAAGATAGCTTACCACCCAGAATAAATTCAAGCATATGAATGGCAGCATGAGAAAAAACAAATTATATGCATCTTGGGGCTCTGACTATAAACTTTCTTGTCTCAGGACAAACAGCTATGCCCTCACAAAAAGGAAAACTACTAATGAGCCCTTTTATTGTATGGTAAAACCTGTATGATTAATGCAAGTATTCTTTAATCTCACATGAAACCTCCATATGTTCCATCTTCATGGAAGAGAACATATCAATTATTTACACATTACTTATGTTCAGAAATATGTGAGGGGGAATGTGAAATATTTAGTTCACTTAAATCTTAATTTTACTTTTATTGATTTGCTAAATGAGTCAGTCAATACAACTTTTCTTGAATACATATTCTTTTTCATTGGTCTTTAAAAAGAAATAGATTTTTAGTAAAATAAAGGAAATTTCCCAGTTTTCAACTTAGAGCTGCTCAGGATCTTTAAATAAGAACCACATTTATGGATCTGCTAATGGCATTTAAAAGATAGAATATAATAAATGCTTAACTAGTATTCAACAATTATATAGATTGGAAATGAATGTCTCCCCAAATTGTCTGCTACTTATAATAAAATAAATGTAAAGATTTTTCTGCCTTTAAACTTCATTTGATTTTGTAACTATATAATATCCATATACTTTGCAATTTATAAAATAAGATTTCCTGTCAGGTTTAAGTGAAATCTCTTTGCAAAACAACTAGGCATTAAAGTATCAATTATGCTGGCAAGATAATCATTTTCTGAAATCATCACATCAGCACAAGTCACTCCCAACATCTTCCTGAGATATTAATTTTCATTTCTTTTCTACTCCAAGAGCAAAGATTATATGTTCCCAAACAAAGTCATTAAGACAAACCATTCTGCCACTTACTTTTTCAGGTCCATTATGATTATTTTTCACTCAGGTATTTGTATTGGTCTTTATTACTCTAGCACACACATGTATTAGTACATTAGTTGTACTACTCCTCCTATAATAAGAGGCCTAACCATTGAGCCAGAGTGAGATGCATGCACTGAGGCTTTCTGAGTAAACTGACTGAGCCCTCCTCCTACTCCTGAAAAAGCTAATCCTGAATCTTAAGGATTTATATGAAATACAGTCTAGCAGTATGAAGCGGGCTACAGGCAAAAAGAGAAACAGAGTCCTGGCGGACGCACCAAAATTCATGCACAGAGCTCTTTGGTATTTGCTAGGGAATGCAGTAATAGTGACAATCCATACTTTTTAACTATTGTAAAGATGTTACCAAAGTAATTGTATAAAAGATTATATGTAATATGAAATTAAGATAAGTGAACAGAAAAGATATCTGAAGTCTCTTTAAATGTTTGAAATGTAAGGTAATGAATGCATTTATATATAATACAGTGCAATTTTGACACGAAGCTCTTGAGTTGG